TCAGTTCTAGTGTCCCCAAAACAGGCGGCCTCCTGCTCTCCCACTCTCTGGGTCCGTGAGAGCAACCAGAAGAAGCTCTGAGCTTCTCCTTTACACCCCACCACACACCAGCTGGCCAGGTGTCCCTCCATTTTGCCTTGCTATTACGGAATACCACAGACTCGGTGATGTATAAAGAAAAGAAATTTATTTCTTACAGTTCTAGAGGCTAGGAAGTCCAAGGTCGAGGGGCCGCATCTGGTGAGAGGCTTCTTGTGGCATCATCCCATGGCGGAAGGTGGAAGAGCGAGAGAGCAAGAGGGGGCCAAACTTGCCTTCATGACAAGCCCACTCTCACGCTAACTAACCCACTTAATCCACTCATGTGAGCAGCACCCTCATGACCTAATCGCCTCTTTAAGGTCCCACTCTCAACACTGCTGCACTGGGGATTAAGTTTCCAACACATGAACTCTGGGGGACACATTCAACCATAGCACCATTTAAGCAACTGGGCTATTCTGTTCTCATTGCCTCGGGAAAAGTATATTATAAACAAAAATAAAACCTAAAAAGAGAGGAGTCTGTTTGTGGCATTTGTGCTTTCATACATGGGCCTTTAAGAACAGAAAGGACACATACCATAGACTTAGATTTGGAAGAATTTTGTAAAGGAAGTAAGGTTCTCCCACAAATCCAAGGATAAATCTAAAACTTCAAAGGGACCAAGAGTGTGTGGCCTGTATGCAGTGAGATCTTCCCTTCCACAGTTGCCCCAGGATTTGAGCTCACTCATTGTTCCGAAAGACACCCTGCTTCTTCACCCCCCAAAACTTTGTTTGGTCCCATTCGATTCACTCTGTGTGGAAACTTCCTACAACATGCCTGGACTCCGTAGACCCCAAAGAGGAAGAGGGGACCCTGGACACCCAGCTGGGCAGAGAGTGAGGAAGGGGAAGCCCCCACATCTGTTCCTGGGTGTGGACGAATCAACTAAGCTGGAGAGTGGTGAAGTGCTCCTTCCCCATTCCAGCTCCATCACCTAAGCGTAGATTAAGTGGTTCTACGAAGCATCCCCTCCCAGCAAACTGGGGGAAGCTCTGCAGTTCACTCCCAGGAAGAGACACCATACCTAGAGCATGCTGAATACTCCTGAATACTCCCTGCGCAGTGGCGGCCTGGTTCGCACACAGCTACTTGCCTCTCGGGCTGCCTTGCTCACGCGCAGATGCACATGCTACGTCAGTTTGTCTCCCCTTTGCCCCTTTTGGTTGCTTCAGCAAACTATCCCGTTTTCCCAGTGGAATCATACACATAACCAGTTGCAGTAGGGGATCCAAAACAACATATATTAAGGCTACCCTTGAAGCCCATTTGTAAAGGTGATTTCAGAGGAAAAAAAGAACTAGAGTTCAAGTTTGGAGGAAAAACATACAAACTGTGGACCTCATGATTTGAAACTTGAAACAAGCATAAACATTTATTGCACTTAGGATGGTTGTTCCTACAAATCTTGGTCAATGTTTAATGCAACCTAAAAGCAAAATAAAAAGTAAATTTGCTTTAATACAATTAGAACTGCGAAAAGGTACAAGCCAAAGAAAACAGAGTTTAGGTAATTTCTATGTGACTACGGGAATGAAGCCGAGAGTTTCAGATAATTTCAAATAATATTCAAATAGAATATGATCATAAATTATGCTCTCGAGGTAGTTATTATTCCATCCCTTCTTCTATTTCTCTTGCTATGCTATCTCATTCTTGTTAAGTTCTCTTCCACCCCTTAAATGTTGGGATTTCTAATGGTTTCTCCCTGAGTCCCCAGGCCTGCACACACTGCACACTCTCCTAGGTATTGACTCATTCCCCTTTTGTCACCTAGCACATATGGCCATGACTGTTGAATTTATATCTTCTGCCTGGGCCCCTTTCCTGTCCTCTAGACCCATAGCATACATCAACTGGTCTTGCTCATTTTCACCTGCATATCTCAGAGCCGCCTGAAAGGCAACATCTCTGCAACTGAAGCCATTGTTTTCAAAAAACCTACTTCCTCTTCTTATATTCATCAACTTACCACATGGTAACACTCCTAGCTCATTTGCCCAGGGAAGAAATTTAGGCTTTCTCTTGACCCCCTCTCTCCCTTATCCTGCGAACCAATCTCAAATCCATTCAGTTCTCTCTGTCTCTGCTGTCTAACCCTGGTCGTCTTGCAACCAGATGACTGCAACAACCTCCTAAGTGGTTTCCCTTTTCCATTCCTGCCTCTCTCCAAATCTATCTACACCTTATAAAAACACAGATCAAATCCTTAAATCCATTCAATAACTCCCAAGGCACTTAAGTCCAAAATCCCTAGCAACACATGGAACCCAGCATGACCTGGCCTTTCTCCACCTCTCCAGCCATAAATCACACATTTCTCCTAGCTCCATGCAACCCAGCCACAATCCTCGACTATTTCAGTCCCTTGAAAGCATCTTGCTCTCTCCCTCCTCTGGGCTCATCTCAGGCTAATCTTGAGCTTCACTTCCTCAAGAAGATTCATCCAGACTAGATCAGGTCTCCCTTCTCTGTCCCTCAGAGCACCTGCCCCACTGGCCCACGTCCTCAGTGATTTTGCACAGTGACACATCATAGCAGACATTTACTAAAAATGTATTCACAACAGACTAGCCCCAAGTCCATCCAGCTCCATGTTCTGAACTGCTCTTGAAAACACCATTGGCTGTAGGCTATCGATGTCTTGTTTCTCTAGATTACTACTATAGCCTCCTAACTGGTCTCAAACCAACTTCTCCACTGTCTTTGCCTTACCCAGATGGTCTTTCTAACATGCAGTTCTCAACATATCAGCCTCCACCGTCTTTAGGATAAAATCTAAGCTCCTGAGCAGGAATTACAAGTCCTTGCTTGGTCTGGTCCCTGCTTTCTCCCAGCCTCATCCCACAACCCTTCCTGCCTCACTCCCTCCAGACCCCCTCCTCTCTGCTCTCTGCCCGGAACACCATCCTCAGCCTCCCATGCCACCACTCGGTAACAAATCCTTGACTTTCTCTGGGAAGCCTTCCCTGACCAAGCTTCCTTGACTGTGCCAGCTGTCTCGCTTTGTTAGTGCACACTGACTGAAGTCACCCACTCTCCCCTCCTGCCACGACAGTCCTGGTTTACACCTGCTGGTATGGCTCAATTATTAATAACCTCCTTCCCTCCTCAAAAACATACCAGTTTAGACAATAAATTACCTGGTCACTCTAACAATGACTATTAAATGCTTGTCTAATTGTCTGTTCCCCGCCCCCAGACAGTAAACTCCACAAAGTATAAGACTGTCTTATTCACAACAGCATCTGGCACAGTGCCTGGCACACAGAAGACATGATATGTTTTTTAAGTAAACAAATGTACTTATATACTATTAAAGCATGCACTGTCATTAGGATATTTATTTGGTTCTAGGGTTTTCTACTGAGAAATAAAATGGTAACCCCCCCAAATTTAAAGATTATACATTTCACACATGATTTTAAAAACACATTTTGGGGAAGTTTTGCAATTTTCAGAGTCTAAATTATAGATATAGATATGCCGGTGACACACTTCACAAAAAGGCAGAATGCCAGTTAGGAATATGGTCAGCAACCAGGGAACTGGTTTTCAGTCTGTGAAGCAAGAGGCCCATTTGTCGACCAACCTTGGACTCATATTCCCTAGGCTTTACCTAAGTTTTTAAAAAAATCTGATTTTTACAAAACATTTTGATACTTACATCAGATAAAATTGGCTCATCAAGTTCTTCCACTCTGCTCAAGTTAGGTGCTCCGTATCGATCACTGATTTCAGCCAGTGTTTTGCCTGAGTCTTGTGTTGCCTCCTACAATCATAAAATCCATTTTCACTTTTTTTTTTTTTTTTTT